AACACCCTGTATACCAATCTTTATTTTTCTGTTAAAGAACAACGAGGATGTGGATAATGCAGCTAGAATGATTGCTAACTCCATCAAACATGAAGATGTACCACTCCATTTAGAAGGTCCGAAGAAATATAATAAAACCAAAGAAGAATCTGACTGTCAGACTCTTTGGAATGAAACTGACGCGGAACTGAAATGCTCAAAACCATGTGTGAATAAGCGAATCTCACCATTGAAATTGACCGGAAAAAAATAAGTTGTTCTCACACGTCTACGAATCGGCCGTACAAAAATGACACACTATTACTTGCTCTTAGGAGAACAACAATCTCTATGTATTACATGTCAAACAGTACTAACAGTACAACATATACTTGTAGAATATGAAGAAACCAGGAGACAACATAACATAACTGAGGCAATGACAGAAATTCTATGTGATGATAGACGAACGTTGAGCAACCTGATGGCATTTTTGAAAGCCGCAAATTTATTAGGTAAAATTTGAATATCAACAAGTACGCGGCTAATAACCTTGCAGTTGATGCCGCAAAAAACTAGCCAAGAACCCTTATCCTAGGAACTTACTAGGTGCCAGCAGTTGCAGTTGTATACGAGGATCTAATAAAAAATTCTCAACATTTTATAGATGCAAACAATAGTAATTAACTTCACAATCCAAAAAATAATGTTGGTACCATTTGGTTATGTTTGGTAATGATTCTGAACGGTCGGAAATATTCTGGAACATCCTGAGTCATGATAGAATAATCAAGGGTTTCGTAGCTCGCCATCACACATCCATAAAAAAGGTTCCAGTTTTTACGCAAAAGGAGGGCTTTTGAAAAGATAAGGGGTAGAATTTCCGCCTTCTGGAAGATTTTAGAACAATATAAAAGAATCAAGAGTTGTTGAGAGCATTTCTCAATATTCCAGTACATTTGGAACATTCTACAATGGTATGTTCAGGAGTAGTTTGGAACATATACACATATTTTGAAATATTCCAGATCATTATGAAACGAGCAAGGAAGTTATATCACAACGGGCCGAACATGTACGGTGTTACGTTACGAACCATTGGTCATATGTCGAACTAACATTGCATATAGCTTCATTTGGTTCCTCTTTTGGTTATGTTAAGGAATGATTGATACTGCCAAAAATCATATCACCATGGCCGAACATGTACTGTGTTACGTTACGAACCATTGGCTCAGTCGAACTACCATTGCATATAGCTTCATTTGGTTCCTTTTTTGGTTACGTTAAGGAATGATTGACAGTGCCAAAATTCGAAATGCCTTCAGAATCAAACCGTATCATATCACCATGTCCGAACATGTACTGTGTTACGTTACGAACCATTGACTCAGTCGAACTACCATTGCATATAGCTTCATTTGGTTTCTTTTTTGGTTACGTTAAGGAGTGATTGACAGCGCCAAAATTCGAAATGCCTTCAGAATCAAACCGTATCATATCACCACGGCCGAACATGTACTGTGTTACGTTACGAACCATTGGCTCAGTCGAACTACCATTGCATATAGCTTCATTTGGTTTCTTTTTTGGTTACGTTAAGGAGTGATTGACAGTGCCAAAATTCGAAATGCCTTCAGAATCAAACCGTACCATATCACCACGGTCGAACATGTACGTTATTACGTAACGAACCATTGGTTCATATGGACACGCGACTACAATCAGAACTACCATTGCATATAACTTCATTTGGTTCCCGTTTTGGTTACGTTAAGGAATAATGGATACTGTCAAAACTCGAAATGCCTTCAGAAGCAAACCGTATCATATCACCACTGCCGAACATATACGGTGTTACGTTACGACGATATGGATACGCGACTACATGTCGAACTACCATTGCATTGCACTTACAGTATTACATAACAAGTCATTGACTTATATGTATATGCGTATTAAAAAGCCAATAGAGTATATACAGTGGGTTAAAATCTCCAGTTTCACGATATGTTACTTTGGTTTTTCTACTAGTCAAGCTAGTCACTAGTCAAGATCAACTATTTAGGAATATTTCTGATCTCGTTTTCTTCTCTTCACTTCCCACTCTTCGTACCTAGAAAACGTCAAGAATTAACGATGTGTTTTCTCTCAGAAATATGATCATGCTAATTTTCGCTAATTATTCAAATTGTGCTAACTCGTAATATAATAACATCCTCATTAATGTTTTACTATGACAAAGTGCATTACGCTCCATACGAACTGCCTTTCACCACCGTTTAGAATGTTATGATTTCACACATCAGTCTGAAAATTGAACAATTGAATATATCAGGTTCTACGAAATGCGTTCCGAAATGCGTTTCAAATGAGGTTTCAGTAACTTTGAATGAATTCGAAAAAGAATTAGTGGAAAAAAATTGATTAGATAAGTTGGATTAATCCATTCAATAAATTGGTGTAGAGATATATTCAGTTTTTAGACATCAATGGAGTTCATTCTCAGAATTTCTCGGTCTGGTGAGTTTTTCCAAAATTATCATTACTTCTGATTTGGAATCAAATATAGGTACATTTGTTTTAGAACACTAAGAGAAGACTTATCCAAACTTTCACCTTGCATCGGTATTTGTTTTAAAATATTTCGATTTGTTTAATATGTTGTCTTAACTATTCATATTATCATTTGTAACGTTCATTTATAGTTTTGTTGAATGTTCATTGATACTTTTTTCATGTATTCAAGCTTCGATAATCTTCATAATGAAAGCCAAACTTCCTCAGATGACTATTTATTCATGTGTAATTTCAAGACTTGCGGCATAGAAATAATAAGTTTTACTACAATCGTGATAAATTTATATCAAACTACTAATAGCGATGCAATAATTTTTAAGAGGTGAACCCTTTTCAAAAGAAAAGGAGTTGCTGTTAATAGGATACTCCTAACAATAATTAGAATGCTGACCCCATGATACAAAATTAATTAATTAATAATGGGTCAAATGGGTCAAATGAGGCTGAGCCTATGTGAGAAGCGCTTACTGCGCAACCTCTGCTGCAGGCAATCAGTGATGCGATTGAACCCAGGTTGCTGTTCAATAAACCCTTCAAAATACAAATGAAACTGAATACAGAGTCAGATGCCACAAATGCATTACGCATATATACAGACGGCTCAAAAAACAAAGAGGGCTCAGGATGTGGAGTGTACTCCAGATCACTAAGCCTAAGGTTTGAGTGGGGAATGGAAAAAAATTCCAGCGTGGTCCAAACAGAACTGGGTGGTATCTCAATCGCCGCAAAAAAAAACAGGAAAGGAATTTCTGGCAAAAATATAACAAACTGCACTGATAGCAGACAAGCCCTATTAGCCTTGAACAGACAACGTGTTACCATAGGGCTAGTACTAGAGTGCTACCAAGATTTAGCCAAAGACTTGGTAGATAATAACATTATCCTGAGGTGGGTTAAAGGGCACGACAGGAGTAAAGGTAATCGCATTGCCGACTGGCAACGAACTAAGAATTTTAGGCACCCATGGCCTGATGGCTTCGACAATTGCGGAACTAGCCAAATGTTATAACCATGTTCAATTCCTTAAGAGATGGGATGGAATCAAATAATGCAATTTTGCCAGGATTACCCTCTGGGAGCTGGCGCTGAAGAAATATCTGGCGATGATCAGGAAAAATCTACGAAACAGTAGGATTTCTGACTGGCCACTGTCAACTAAGGAAACACCTCCATAATATAGGGTTAGTTGACACACCTCTATGCAGGATGTGTTAACTGGAAGATGAGACTGTCAGTCATATCCTATGCGAGTATCCGGAGTTATCGTCAATAAGAGAGTGTGTGTTCGGCGAGTCTTGGCCTAACCTGCCGATATGAAGGAGATGTCTCCTAGTGACCTGTACATCTTCCTGGAAAGAACAGAATGGACGATGAACTAGGAGGACATCTCCTCGGAAGGATGTTCAATGGGTCACATGTGGCCTAAGTGCTGTGGGACTACACTCACCCTCCTACTCTACAGATACAGATCAATTCTAGAGAGTCATAATACATATTCGTTCATTTATTCATTTATTTATTTATTTTTTCATTCATTCATTTGTTCATCAATTTATTTATTTTGTCCAATTTCCCTCTTTCGAAGTTTTACAGTCATAACAAAAAGTGACTCCTCCAGCTCAAAAACTGCCATTGCCGGAATGCCACAAGGATCTATAGGAGGTGCTACTCTCTGTGTAGTGTACATACAGGGTTCTGCAACAGTGGAGCGGTGTTCCATATCTCTATTTAGGAAACAGATAGAAATCTAAATTTCTATAATATTACCTTATTATTCGAGCTCGACAAAATAAAAATATTGCTCACTATTCGGCAAAAGTGAGATTTCATCTAAATGAAGTATTTCCCAATAAATGTATAGGACGGAATGGGCCTGTACGCTGGCCCGCTAAATCACCAAATTTAACAAAACTGGATTTTTTCTTATGAGGATACATAAAAAATATGGTTTACGTCGAGCTAAAGTTACTGTTACATAGAATACAGAAACTAAAATGCTTAGTATGAGAATAGAGCAACGCCCCAAAGGGTGGAGCGTCAATCGTGTTCTACTCTGGCAATCAAGTTTTCAAAAATCAGTCAACTTTAATTTGCCTGTTTCCACTTATACATGAAATATGATGTGATGCTAAAACGCCGAGGAAATATTTAAAATTGATTAAATAGTTGGTTTGAATTTTAGGCTATTTTGATTTTCGTGATTCATGTTGAGCTGCTTTCAAATTTTTCCAAAGTATCAATGAAAAAGTTCAGAATACCAATCGTAACATATCCAACTATGTATAATTCAATTTATTCGATTAATGTATTTATATACTTTGCTTTGAAGTTTTCTTACGTTGTTTTGTTCTGTTGTTAGCAACTCTCTCTTTCTCCAAAATATTATCCCTCCTCGATCAATTCGACTCGAAACATTTCAGCACATCTTTTCGTTGTTTCAGCTATGTCCGTGGACAAAAAGAAAGCCATAGAAGAAGATGACATAATATCTGCTTCGATTGGAAATTTCGGGAAATGGCAGCTGCTCCACACCTTCCTGCTATCCCTGTTCAACATACCCTGTACGTGGCACATCTTTGTGCCGACCTTTCACGCCGCCGAGAGAGACATCTGGTGCGCGCGACCCGAAAAATTCCGAAACGTCTCGCCGAATTTGTGGAAAAACTGTAGTGGTCAAAGTGAGGAAGAGTTTTGTACGTTTCATGACGTGGTGAACGTGTCGAACGATTGTTTTTTCGGAAACGTTAGTGACCTTGAGAGGATTAAGTGTTCCAAGTGGGAGTTCGCAGGAGAAGGTTAGTTATTACCATTACTATTATTTAATTCTGAACAAAGTATCGATATATTTATCCATTTTTCAAAAACGATGCTAAAAGTAAAAGCAAAGTATGAAGTGTATGAAGTATATTTTATAGTCAGTTTCGGTATGATTTCCATCATTGGAAAGTGCGCAAGTAATAGTGCGCCTGGCTCAGAATCGGGAGGTCACGAGTTCGATTCCTACTTCGGACAGATATTTTTCTATAAAGAGTTCATCTAGTTGTAGGTGAGATGATTCTGCAACGTTATTTGGCTAACGAACTGTGAATAGCTACGATGATTACTTGATGGATCAATGAGTTATCAACATTGCCTACCCAGAACACCAAAATGACCATAAAAAAAATTACGGTGAAAAAAATGTAAAGGCGTGTTAAAGAACTAGTTTTATTGAAAAAAAAGTTAAAACATGGATGGTCCAAAATACAAAGAGCAGCATTTTCTTTGAAAAATTTTTCGTATCAAAATTGTAGAAATCGGTTGTCACAACTATGAATTTAACTTGACAAGTGACAAACATCGCAAATGATTAGTTGCTGTTTTTTCAATGCCCATCACACTAGTTGCTTTTTATTTCATTCCTGGAAAATAAAATGAGCTTTATAGTCCGGTAACTTTATACATCACAGCATGTGTCAAATCCGGTAGTTCTGATTTTTTGCAACCTTGTTTATGGTTTTTGCCTAATCATAATCAATAATCTAAGTTAGTGACTTCGTGAACCGAATGCAACTTTGTCAAAAATCGAAAAAACTGCGAAAACATTGGGTTTTTTCAAATTTTGGCGATTAAAATCCTGAAGGACTAGTTTTTGGAAAAACTTGCTGTGTGAGTTTTTGAAGTAGATTAAATTTGCTACAGTATGATATTGAAACTGTCTCTGTTTCTGAGATTAAACCTTCCAAAGTTCATAATTTTTTTCGAACTTCACAATTTTTTGTCTTTCTGATCAATTCAATTTTGACCCTGATTATACCATCGAAGCTTTTTATGATGGGATTTCAAAAAAGAAAATGAGAAGTGTGAACGATGATGTTTAAGGGTGAAGAATGAACTAGGAAGACATTGTATGAAACTGTATGAAAAAGTGGTGGCTAATAGAATAGTGAATTACCTAGAGTCAAATAATCTGATATGTAGTAATCAACATGGATTTCGAAAACACCGTTCTATAGAAACAGCGACCTACGACTTTCTTAATAACATATACTCTGAAATTGATATCAACAATTTTGTAACAAGTATATTTTCTGATCTGTCAAAGGCATTTGACACTGTGTCACCAGATTTTCTATATATAAAGTTAGTTAGGCTTGGGTTTCCACATAGCGTATTATCTTGGTTAAAATCCTATATAAGTGGTCGTCGTATGACAGTCAAATATAATAATATCGTGTCCAAGGAACATGACGTAACATTCGGAGTTCCTCACGGATCAGTATTGGGACCTTTACTGTTTGTAATATTTGTAAATGATTTGTCGCAATATATTGATATTGATAATTGTTATATAACTATGTTTGCAAATGATACCATAATGACAATTACTGGATCCACACTAGAAGATATACTAACAAAGGTCAAAGATGGTATTGATACTTTTTCTTCATGGTGCCAACGTAATCATTTAATATTGAATACCTCTGAATCTGTCTCACTGAAATTTTATAACAGAAAAAATAACATCCCAAGGGAAATTGACCTTACTGATGAAATAATGATGTCACGTGACGTAAAATTTCTAGGAACTGTATTAGATGAATCTCTAAATTGGGATCTGCATATTGATAGTGTCTGCAAGAAACTAAATTCAGCTTTTTTTGCAATAAAACAAATGAAATTGTGTGTAGATTCACAAAGCCTTCTAAGCATATACTTTGCAATGGCATATCCACATGTTTCTCTAAATATTATGTCATGGGGATGTGGTAGAGATTTTAATAGAATATTTGTTGCTCAAAAACGTATTATAAGATTAATTTTTGATATGAACTATCGTGATAGCTGCAAACCTATACTCATAAGGGAAAACTTGTTATCAGTTCCATGCATATATATACTGAAATGTGTAATATATTTAAGAAGTAACCTTGCATCTTTTGAAGTGAATGCAGCTACTCATAACTATGGTACACGTCATGGTGATATGTTGAGAATACCCTCTCACAAAACCACCAAATTTAAAAATTCTCCATTATATAACTCGATCACACTGTACAATAAACTACCAAATGCTATTAAGGAGTCTAAATCGTATGATATATTCAAGAATAATACTAAAAAATTCTTAATAGAAAAGTGTTTCTATAGCGTACAGGATTATTTAGGACAAAAATTTTAATTTTAAGATTCTTACTATCAATTTATACCTTCTATAACTGTGACACCCATATGCTGTTGTGATAATTGTTTTAGTTTTTTTATCTATATATGACAAATCATGATTTTAATTGTTTTTATATTATATAGTACTTCTATTGACTTACCATATGGACATTAAGTACCGAAATGGCTAATAAATATTATTATTGTTATTGAAATAAACAACTCAAAGAGGAAGGAGAGAAATGTAGAAGAATTGATAAATTCTTATTTATGTAATGGAACACATGTTTCGGAAATGAAAGTCAGTTCTGAAATAAAACAATTTCATCTTTGATTTCGGCTATTATTTATTAAGCTACGAATAATGAAATAAAAAATATAAGTACAACAAAAGTTATTAGGTTTACCTATTTGTAGGAAATTGAGAAATATAAAAAATAAATCAAATTGAGTAATAAATCAAATTAGTAGTAAATCAATAGGGTAAACCAATTGGACAACAAAACAAATTAATTAATTTAGCCCTCTTGGAAGGTCCCGGTTGAGGTACGACCGTGTCTGGATCGACGTATTGGGATGGCATATCCCCATCAAGGGATGGTGATGAATCGTCGACGTCTTGTGCCCACAGTCATCCTCCATTTCGACAACGGACAGATCATCGCCTTCTAGGATATCTACCACTGCAACATCATGTATATTGTCACAAGAGACCCCGATGCAGTGCCTGCAGACTGATGATCATTTTAATCCTGCCTTTTTGCAGCTGCACGCGTTCCCACAACCCTTTGAGTAGCCGCAAGAAATCACCTGCAAGAGGTTATCATTTTGGGGTTGAGGCCTTGTGGCGTGGATATCCATCCCCAGGAGAGACGGTTCAGTGTAACTCCCAACCACGCCTGTACCAGTAAGAAGATTGTACATGAGAATAAAAAATGATGAATGATATGTAACTAATGCAAGGACAAATATTTACCTGATGGTATGTCCGCAAGGAGTGAAATCGAGCAGAGCTCGTGTAGAAGGGAAACTGGCTAAATTGAAGCTGATTTTCGTCACAGTCCTGGCGAATACTTGGTACCTCAGCTCGTCAAGGTTATGGGTGTTGGGATTGCTTCCGTATAGAGCAATTATGACTCGCTCTTCTGCTGCTGCCATCTCGTCAGGTGTAGAGTTGGTGTCGAGAAAATCGAAGCTTGCTTTTCAACGTCTGAATTTTTTTCGACTATACATCTTCCCTGAGCCAAAGAAGCAGGATGGCGAGTCACAACCACTAAAAGCATGGAAGAAGAGGAAGAGCTCTGGTTTCAAAGAAGACTTTAAACAAGTGATGCTGGAATACATGACACCTGATGCTTTGCCTTTTCCACATTTATTGCAAAAATTCCACTTTGTTTTGAGATCGTAATAAGGATGATTAGCAAGTCAATGTCCTCACCAATAACTACCGCTATATCATAGGTAGAGGCGGCAGTTACAGCTGTAGTGATGATGAGCCTATCAGCATCTTATTCTGCTTGAAGTACTTGAATGTTGTGATTTCCCATGTTTGTTGTCAGCAGCTTCATTAGATTATTCATAAGGCCAATATCACAAACAAGTCTGCAAAAAATCAGAACTACCGGATTTCAAAAACTAGTCCTTTAGGGTTATTATCGCCAAAATTGAAGAAAGAAACCAATTTTTCGCGTTTTTTTTTCAATTTTTGACAAAGTTGCGTTCGGCGCCCGAGGTCACGAACTTGGATTATTCATTAGGCCAACATCACAGACAAGTCTGCAAAAAATCAGAACTACAGGATTTCAAAAACTACTCCTTCAGGGTTATTATCGCCAAAATTGGAGAGAAATCCCGATTTTTCGCGGTTTTTTTCGATTTTTGACAAAGTTACGTTCGGCGCCCGAGGTCACAAACTTGGATTATTCATTGAGTCAACATCACAAACAAGTCTGCAGAAAATTAGAACTAGCAAATTTCAAAAACTAGTCCTTAAGTGTTATTATCGCCAAAATTGAAGAAAAACCCCGATTTTTTGCGTTTTTTGATTTTTGCGTTCGGCGCCCGGGGTCACAAACTTGGAGTATGCTTCAGGTCAACATCACAAACAAGCTTGCAGGAAATCAGAACTACAGGATTTCAAAACCTAGTTCTTTAGGGTTATTATGGCCAAACTTGGAGAAAAAACCCGATATTTCGCAGTTTTTTTCAATTTTTGACAAAGTTGCGTTCGGCGCCTGAAGTCACAAACTTGGATTATTCATTAGGCCAACATCATAAACAAGTCTGCAAAAAATCAGAACTATCGGTTTTCAAAAACTAGTCCTTTAGGGTTATTATCGCCAAAATTGGAGAGAAATCCCGATTTTTCGCGGTTTTTTTCGATTTTTGACAAAGTTACGTTCAGCGCCTGAGGTCACAAACTTGGATTATTCATTAGGTCAACATCACAAACAAGTCTGCAGAAAATTAGAACTACCAAATTTCAAAAACTAGTCCTTAAGGGTTATTATCGCCAAAATTGAAGAAAAAACCCGATTTTTCGCGATTTTTTTCGATTTATGACAAAGTTGCGTTCGGCACTCGAGGTTACAAACCTAAATTATTCATTAGGCCAACATCACAAACAAGTCTGCAAAAAATCAGAACTACCGAATTTCAAAAACCAGTCCTTTAGGGTTATTATCACCAAAATTGGAGAAAAACCCCGATTTTTTGCGTTTTTTTTTCGATTTTTGACAAAGTTGCGTTCGGCGCCCGAGGTCACAAACTTGGAATATGCATTAGGTCAACATCACAAACAATTCTGCAAAAAATCAGACCCACAGGGTTTCAAAAACTAGTCCTTTAGGGTTATTATCGCTAAAATTGGAGAAAAAACCCGACTTTTTGCGTTTTTTTTCGATTTTAGACAAAGTTGCGTTCGGCGCCAGAGGTCACAAACTTGGATTATTCATTAGGCCAACATTACAAACAAGTCTGCCAAAAATCAGAACTATCTTATTTCAAAAACTAGTCTTTTAGGGTTATTATCGCTAAAATTGAAGAAAAACCCAATTTTTCTTTGTTTTTTCGATTTTTGACAAAGTTGCGTTCGGCGCCCGAGGTCACAAAGTTGGATCATCCATTAGGCCAATGTCACAAACGACTCTGCAAAAAATAAAAACTACCGGTTTTCAAAAACTAGTCCTTTAGGGTTATTTTCGCCAAAATTGGAGAAAAAACACGATTTTTCGCGATTTTTTTCGATTTTTGACAAAGTTGCCTTCGACACCCGAGGTTACAAACCTGAATTATTCATCAGGGCAACATTACAAACAAGTCTGCAAAAAATCAGAACTACCGGATTCCAAAAACCAGTCCTTTAGGGTTATTATCGCCAAAATTGGAGAAAAACCCTGATTTTTTGCGTTTTTTGATTTTTGCGTTCGGCGACCGAGGTCACAAACTTGGAGTATGCTTTAGGTCAACATCACAAACAAGTCTGCAGAAAATTAGAACTACCAAATTTCAAAAACTAGTCCTTGAGGGTTATTATCGCCAAAATTGGAGAAAAACCCCGATTTTTTGCGTTTTTTGATTTTTGCGTTCGGCGCCCTTGACGATGCTCGCACTGGACGCCTCAGCACATCGACAACCGATGAAAATGTTGAGAAAGTGAAGAAAATCGTTACGGAGAATCACCAATAGAGAAGTTTCTGAGGATGTCGGCATATCGGTTAGCTAATGCCATGCAATTCTTTCAAAAATTCTGGACATAAAGCGTGTGGCAGAGAAATTTGTTCCAAATTTGCTGAATTCGGTTGTTGACTTACGTCAACGGCGATCCTGTTAAATACTGAAATGAACATTTTGAGTTCTGGTTGCATAGATCTTCTTCCGATGATAAATAAGAGACTATGCACCCTGCTACTGCCTGTAATTTCTATTCAAAATATCAATTCGCTGTATCTCCTAAATTTTCACGCTAGCTTTCCAATAAGAATTTCATAATCACCATAAATAACGAAAGTTACAAAATTCTAAACCATTTTTTAAAAGTCATTCAGACCCATTTTTAAAAAACAACTTTTGTGAAGTTATTTGCTCAAGCGTATACTCATTGATCTCAGCCGCAGATACACAATGAAACTCGTGATGATAATTAGTTACACTAATTGTTGCGGTCGTATCCACTGCTTTAGAAATTATGTAACACGAATAATGTTTTACGGCCAGTACTTCAACATGAGGATCATTACTGTTTACTCACAATATTTGAAAGTAAATTATGATTCTTCGTGAAAAATATGAGTGCTTAATTACTTTTATGGGCACGATAGTATATCGAATAATGGAGTTTTGGTGTCTCATTATCTGAAAATGTCATTATATGAAAATCCTGTTTTCGTTTAACCTCTATGTTTTCTGTTGATATGAAATTTTTTCACACACATTCAAAAACTTATTTTTGAAACAAAAAAGACAGCTAGGAGTAAAAAATATGTATGTATTAATTTTTAATTCTAATTAAACGGTTTTATGTAACTTGCCCAGTTTGTATGTTTGGGTAAAATTCAGTAATTGAAGTTTGACCCCCTGTCTGTTGACAGATTGATCTGATATTTGGCACTACAATTAAATTCAAATTTGGCACTACAATTAAATAAAATTATTACTGTTATTATTTATTATTACTGTTATTTAAAAATGGCAACAGCTACAAAATGGTAGATTACAATAAGTTGGTATATGTTTTTGATGTTACTGAATAAATGAAAAATAATTTGTTTTGAATATAGTTATCAACAGATTCAACAAAATCATGATTTATCTATGAACGTACTATTCTTCTAAATTGTTTCTATTGTACAATGACAATATAAATGAGGAAAAAACAAAATGCATTTTTTTAAATCAATTCCAACAACAAGATTCCTAATGTTCATGAACATACGTTAACGAAAGACCAGAATTTTTAGTTGATACCTAAAACATAGTGTCTGAAATGGTGCCAAGTCTAATGAATATTTTTTTAACTGTCGCTGGAATATGTCAACGGAATGTGACAAATTGATTAGTTTCGTAAAATGTTGATGGGTGAAACAGATCAAAAATAGTGTATTCAGAATGTTTTCAAATGAGTAAACAATTAAAGATAAAAAAATTTCGAAAACATAATTGCGTTCTAGGAAAACAACTGAAATTACTCATTTGGCAAGTAAATATCAGGATGAATGTTGAAATACTCGATAATACAGGTCGTTTTTTTTAGCTGATCCAACTATTGCTATTTTGAGGAACTAGAATAATCTCTTTTCATATTGAGAATATCAATGGTTGTTTCTGATATATTCGACAAAACCCAGAATTTTTGTATTTCATTTTTTGGCTCTACCGCCTTCATTTCAAATAATAAAAAAGTCAGATGAACTTTCAATACTGTTTGTTTCATGTGTGTTATTATAATCTGATATTAATCAATTTGCAATGCGATGTTTGGTCATACGACTTCATCATCACCCAAATTATTTTGAATACGGACCTCTAGTTTTTTTTACACGCTTCATATTAGCTTCATGTATGTATGTATGTATGATTGTTTGTATGCATGTTTGTGTGTAACTCACAAGATCGGGATCTGTACTGACAGAATTAGCGGCATTATTGCTTGATCTATTCGCGGGCAGATGGCGGTGTACGTAACTGTCAATTATTGCTTGATCTATTTGCGAACAGATGACGCTGTACATAACTATCTATTATTGCAATCAAATCAAATCAAATCAAAATGTACTCTATTATTGAAGATGAAATCTCATTGACAAAGTATTACTATTTTAAGGAATATAAGATACACAACTTAAAAGATATTGTCGAAGATAAAATATTATTGTCAAAGTGTTATTATTTTAAAGAATATAAGTTATACAAATTGAAAGTAATATTTGAACATTTGGTGATTTCAGCATTTTGGAGTGAAAAAGTAGTCAGAAAGTGATAATATATATGCTACATATTGAAATAAATAATAATAATNAATTGTCAGATTACTGGAATATACACTTTTTAGCAGGTAATTAACTCACCCTACCTTAATCTGACGCGCTCGAGAATTTCTGATGATCAATTTTTTTTTACTAATCTAATCCTTTATCCCTCACAGGCGGCCTTATATATGGGGCTCATATTTGGTGGAGGTACTTAACCGGGTACAATGTATCCCCCTGTATATTAATCTGTTGCCCTTTAGTAAATCCCGAAATCCCCACTTGGGATCCTCTATTATTAGAATTATGCCGGGTATTCATAAATGTGAAAATATACAGGGAGTTACATTTGAATTAAGGAAGTTGGTACTAGCTACCGGTATAACCGGAAATATTGAAAGTGTTGGATTAAGCATATAAAAAACCTATATTTGCCAGTTTTCAGGATATGAATCCAATCATTTCCTAAAATACAGCCAACCAACGGTCATTGCGCTACATCCTCTATACTTTTATTCACACCCATTGAAGTAGAGATTTTTTCAGTTTTATTTTTCCAGGTTCCACTATTATATCTGATTTCAACTTGATATGCGACAGAGAGAGCCTAACAAGCCTCGGAGAAATGATGTTTCTGGCGGGTGTGGCAATAGGAGGATTGGTTTGCGGAATTCTGTCCGACAAATATGGAAGAAAACGAACACTGATGGCTTCCGTTCTGATACAAAGTGTACTCGGTAAGTTTCATCATCATTATAAAAATCAAATCACCCAAATTTTTAATGGCATGGAATTGTCCAGAATGTCTTTACAAATTTGACGTTCATATGTAGAAATGCCAGCTCTTTCATCTTCTTCTATTATCAAATCAGAAAAATGAGCACACAACTTTTAGCAGTATAGACTTCAAGATAACTGACCAATTTTTATATTGAAATATTTTTGTATGCAGACAATAGATATTATTCAAAACGTGCCTGCTTTTCGAGACTGATTGACGAAATTGATAATTTTGTATGTTTTCATTAATAGGCCTTGAAAGATATTACAGAAAAATCATTAATTATTGAGTTGCACTTTCTCTGTAACCAATGTAACTTCAATTGTGATGATTACACTGACAGAATGTATTTTGTCAATTCCAGGCACTATCATCGCTTTCAGTCCCTGGTTTTTCTTCTACGCCATCTTTCGAGCAATGCTGGGCTTCATTTCCGTTTCCGTAGTCTTCAGTGGATTCGTTCTCTGCATGGAGCTAGTGGGAGGCGACTGGAGAACAATATCCGGTATATCATATCTATTTCCCGTTTCTGGGAGTTACGTCACTATATCCGGGATAGCTTATCTGTTGAGAAAATGGAGACATCTTCAGTTGGCCATATCCTTACCTGGATTTCTTTTTCTCATATTATGGTAAGTTGGTTACTTTCTTAAACGAATTTTTCACCGTAGCAACGTGATTTTCAGAAATATCAGTTCTAGGTGAACTACTTATTTTTGATACTCTTAAGGAGAAGAAAAGATATTTTTCTGGTTCAATATGAAGGTGTAACAGAAATATTAGAATGAAAGGTGCACCAACTTCAGATTCACGAAAAATCTTCGGATTTTAATAAAAAGGATTCTTAATTTTAAGGTTCGTCCTTCCCGAATCCCCTAGATGGCTCTTGGCTATGGGTCGTACTGATGAAGTGATGAAAATCCTGGAAGACGCGGCAAAGATGAATAACAGAACATTGCCGCCAAATTTAGACAAACAGCTGCAACCGGAATCAGTTGAACAAGAAACCGAAAACGTGAACGTTCTGGATCTGTTCAAAACGGCCCACATGAGGAAGAAGACGTTTTGCCTCTTTTTGATTTGGTTTAGTGTCTACTTAGTATATTATGGATTGGTCCTCAATCTGGGCAACATTGGAGGAAACTTATACGTGAACTCAGTGAGTACATATTTGACAAAATAAAAAATATTGAAATTTTTCAAAAGTTTTAAAATATCATGCTTCATCGAAAAATCATTTTCAAAACGGTTACCGCTTACCACCTCGATGGTACTCCTCCGATCTCAATGCAGTAGAGTCCACACTTACGTCACTCCTGTTCAAATATAAAAAAAGAATCACAAGTTATACTGAGAAAAAATCTAGTTCATATCTGATTTTTGTATTTTCCTAATATATCAAGTCGATAAATAGGCCCTCGAATTGGTCCTCGAAATAGGTCCGCGAATCGGTCCTTGCAAAATGAACCTTCATACAAGAAAGCATGGAACTCAATCATCTCCCGATGATGCCAACTTGGTCAGCGAAAAGCGCGTCGAGAGACCGGTAAATGACAAATGACAGTCACATTGAAACACCTTTTTTTTGTCGATGAAATCTACATTGCCTTTCCCTTTCATTTCATGTGCTACACGCGGCGATTTGACTATTATTAACGAAGATATGGTTCAGTGCCTTTCTGGCACCATATTTGTTTTTTTTTTCGTCAATGAATTCTGCATTCCTTTCCCTTTCATTTGATATGCTGCACGCTACAATCTAACTATTATTAACGAAGATGAAACTTGGTGCCCTTATGACATGTGACATCTTTGTTTTTTCTTGAGATGTGCTGCACGTAGCGATCCAACTATTGATAATGAAGTTGCGACTTAGTACCCTTCTGACATGTTGCGCCATCTTTGTTATTTTCTCTTTGTCGATAAATTGTGCATTCCTATCCCCTTCATTTGATGTGCTACACGTGACGATGCGACTATTATTAGCGAAGATACGCCTTAGTGTCCTCTTACACGAGTCACACCTACCTCAAGTAGCGTATTCCACAAGGTTCCGCTCGGAGTTCCGAAATTTTTCAAAATGAATCAACATAAGAAAGAGCATGGGTTTTTGAGCCAGAATCAGCATAGTACCTTTACCCAGCTCTATTACCACCTGCTTCAGAAATAACTCTGAAAGCTTTTTTCGTAATTCCAAAAAAAGTTGTAACGTAAATTGTGGCTGCAAAAAAATGTATTTATTTTGTTCACTAATATGTACCGATGACATGGACTTTTTACTTCATTTGTTCTCCCATTGACCTGCAACAAATAATAACATTATTGTAGATAATGTCATACTAGCTACTGATTGGCAAAGCCAGTTTTGCTCCAATATTCAATGACGAAATAACTAATGTTTCTTTCTTTTCCGTGCAATTTATAAATATCCAGCAAAATAGAGAAATGTAGGTACCTACTTGTTATGCAGTGTCGGAGCCTGTAGCAAATTCTGTCAAGAGGCCCTTGGTTTGCCATAGATTCTCAAGTTAAGGGTATTAAATAGAACAAAACTGTTACAAATAAACTTTTCTGGTTGGTTGGTTGGTTGGTTGGTTGGTTGGTTCGTTGGTTGATTGGTTGGTTGGTTGGTTGGTTGGTTGGTTGGTTGGTTGGTTGGTTGGTTGGTTGGTTGATAAGTGATAAACTTCTACATCGCTCAACCGATCGTGATGAAACTTGACATGTATAAGTAACTTTTCATAGAGAAGATTTTGAGTCTATCAATTTCTCTGTAACTCGTCACTAGATGGCGCTTCAGAGTAATTTTTTGAAAGCACTGTTATATAACGCTGCGCACGCCTAAGTTCGTTGATTCTGATTCTGTCAAAACATTGGAACAGCAGCGATCCAGCAACATAGTACTATTAATCAAAGTGATATGATTAGGACGTTTTTGGCCCATCGTGTTTCAACTTAACGTTGAAAAAGAACGTTCGCCACTGCAGTTAGTGATCATGAAAGACAAGTAAATACGAAATGCAATTTCTACGTTTGAGAAACATGATTCTAAGGAATTATTTGATAAAAGTTTATAAAATTGCAGTTCCAGAAGCTCTTGTTTCTTGCTGTCAATAACAGTGGCCACATATGTTTTTAGCAGTTCAGCGAACTGCACTGATTCGTCGCCTAGGTTGTTCTCCAAATCGTCTTCGTAAGCACTGACCATACTTGAGACGTTTTCCAAAATATCTTCTGTTTTAAGGGATTTTAGCTGTCGAAATACTCTAAAACCACCAGAAATTTTATGATATACTTCCATACGTTCAGATAAAGCACACAGTAGTTATCAATAATGACAATAAACCCATGAATTTCAAAACGTTGTCCAGGTGTTTCATTTTCAACAAAGACGTCGACGGGAGTAGAGCCGGTGAAATGGTCGTACTCTGCATTCCGCTTGCATCGTCTTGAATTGCTGATATTCTTCATAGCCGGTCAGGTCTTTGGCTTTTGGCTCAATATCTGGAAATATGGATCGAATTGCTTGGACGTAGTCAGTACTCGAAGCAATGTCAAAACAAATTTTCTCAAGAATGGTTCACATCTAAAGTGCTTTCAAAAGTTGTTTATGTTGTGCCAAACGTAAATGTACAGCATTTTATTATTGTTTGATAGTCGATAGAATCCTATTTCATTTGATCGGGTTGTTACGACTAGCTCGTTCGATGACAATATCAGGGAATTCCCCTGTTGGTTTTGCAGTGCTGCCAACTTGTGTGTAGTGCAGTGCCAGTAGAACAACGCATAACTTTTGGTGTGGCCAGCGCTCAAATTCGGAAATGTGGTAAAATTTTAAATTTTATTGTTGTATATTTTGATGACAACGTTTCTCGTGGTAGGTACTATACCTACAATGAAACATTAGGCAAAGTACCGTCACCAGCACTCAATAATCTCAAAACATGATCGATATGATAATCGATTCAAAAAAAGGTCAGATATATTCATTTATGAAATTATTCTATATTTTATAATAAATCAAGCAACCAGAGATCATGACTGAGTTAAAAAAATAAACAGTTCGTTTTTTTCTCGAAGTAAATTAGATGTTATATAAGGTCAAACTTCTTCAAGTACAAATATTTCAAGGGTATGTTCGGGTCATGAAACTGAACAACTTTCGTCAAGAAACATAGGTTGCAAAATGTTGGTCTTCCCATAGGAAACTGATCAGCTGATCGGAAATTTAGTATGGGAGACCGAAAATTCGTTTCAATTTTTCGACATAAATTTATTGTGAAAAGTTCTTTAGTTTCATGACCCGGACATGCCCTTAAAATATTTGCGCGTAAAAAAATATTACGAAAAGTAATGAAACGCAATTTTCAAAGGGGATCTGCTCAAGAGTATTACGAAAAAAAAATATATATTGGGAGTTTTAGTGTTTCCAACACCATAAACATTAAGACATTAACTTCAAAAGTTAATAAAATTCACTATTTTTACATGAACGTGTTAATTTATAGACTCAAAAACGTATCAATTAATTAATTTTCAATCCGATTAATATATTTTTATGCAATATAAATATAAATAATTAATGTCAGATAAGAATTAACGTGACGAAATTTAGACAGACAGGTGTTGGACCGCGGGGCCCCTCGAGTCGCGGGGCCCGTAGCATTTGCTTCTTTTGCTATGTTGCTAATCCGGCACTGTTTTTTATCTTCCTCTTGGTGATTTAGACACGGGTCAAGATGTTAAAGATAACGGCTTGGTGTTAGGATAAAACTACAGTAATATTCAAAATAGAGAAAGAAGAAACCAAGGAAGAAAGTGATGTAGCATTGAAAGATTCATCAATTAGACAATCAAATTCATTTCCTTCATTGTCGGCAATATCTAAGGAATGTGAATATGTAGAAAAAAATATATGACAACGATTTTTGTAGATAATTATATTATCTTACAATTTTACCTGACATCACCGTTGACAGGAGAATTGCAAAAATTCATTTTTTCACCTTAGACCTTAAATATTTTTTAGCATACATAGGATCAGTGGAAACCTTTGGTAGAAGAGAAAAGACGTCTTTTCTGAAATTCATGTTGATATTTTCATGAAGCTCAGATGTATGACCATTAGTCATACAACTTACATGATCTTCGAAAGTAGCATCCAGTTTTTCACAAAAATTTTTGTAGTTGGATTAAATTGACTTCATGGATCTAGAGTTTGATATCGTGAAACAGTTATCTAAGTTACAGTATAATTTATTTTCAATTGTCCAATTGAAGATATAACAAAAGTTATTTTGAAAGGATCAGCGTACAAAACACAATAAGGTCATTAAGGAATTAAAAATCAGGAGTCCAAAATTAGACCCCTGAGGTACACCGGACCTTGCTATGAACGTTGCTGAGTTACATTCGTGTTATTTGACACATTAGATTCATAACACATTCATAACGGATCACTTTAAATACCAGAATGACCTTGTAGACCTTCTTCAATGTAATCATCTGCTGTAGTTGTTAATTGTTACTCTACTCACGAAGTAAACTTCCTACATTTTCTACACACAGGTCCTGCAAGGTGTTGTCGAAGTACCAGCAGTGGCCATCAGCATATTCATCCTCCTGAAAGGCGGCAGGCGTTGGCCCCTCTTCCTGACCATGGCAATCTCGGGGACGGCTTGCGGTCTCACAGTGCCCATCTACTTGTCCACCGCCAAGCTCCAGTGGGTGGTCACTACTCTGACCATGATCAGCAAGTTCTGCATCAGCTCCTCCAATGCCATCATGCCCGTCTTCACTGCCGAGCTGTATCCGACGACGATAAGGAACATAGGAGTGGGAGCGGCTAATGTCACGGCGGGTATTGCGCTAATGTTGGTGCCTTATTTGTGGCGTTTGGTAAGTGATTCGTAAGATCTACACAAGTCCTACTCTTGTATTCTATCTTTTGGTATTTTTATGGTACTCTTACTCAGGCTATGTCTTTTCACCTCATGAAATTATATCCATGTAAGTGGGATATCACAAAAACTAGGATGGAGAACAAGGGCCACCATTTCTGGATCAGTTTAAAATCTGATTTTACGTTAACCAGCTGTCGCACCCCTACGAACGACAACCCTCAGAAGTCAAAACTTGTGCGAGCTAAGGATTAACGAGGTCTTACCTTTAAACNACAGTTTATGCTTGAAGAAGCTATTATATAGCGAAACACGTGTCGCGGTTTTTGTAAAACATTTTTATAGTGAAAATCATACAATAAACTGTATTGATTAGTTTTTCAATATGGATTTTCAAGTATCGGTCAGTTCTATTCAAATATATGCTGTTCTTTAAATTTGTTGCTGTAACTCTCTGGCACATGGTGGTAGATTGGATACGTCAAACGATGTAACTTGTTTCTTGAAAGACTCCGTGTCATCTATAACTCCGTAATGTCTATCAAATATCTGAACTCTCGCTTCAGTCTTGAGACTTTGGATAACTTATTTTTGGTTGTTCCATCATGCGCCACACAAATTCTTCGATTATTGGTGCAGTGTCGGCAACCAAAGAAGGGTTCGCCAAGTATGCAAAACCTTTTTCAAACTTTTCGTTGCCCATTAAAATCGACAAAGGTTTTTTTTACCTTTTTTTATAAAAAGCTGGTGTAAAATAACAGCCGGTTAAGGCATGGAATGCAGGTACCGATGCACGGCCGATTGATGTGGCATTTATGAATCTGCAATTGTTTCCATAACCAAATTGTGAAGTAACATTGACACTTGTGTCATCGCAAATTGTCTATCACTCTCACCTAAACACGGTCGATTCTTCTGCCAATTGACAGTTTGTCTACTTAATAATTATATATTGCAAGGAAATAACGGCAGACGGTAAAACGTTGGTCAAAGTTATTACTTTTTTTCTGCAAATAAAAAAATATTTTTCAGTTGTATAACACGATCTATTCGTCTGCCGATTGACAATTTGTCTACCTAATATTAATATATATTGCAAGTAAACAATACCAGACGGTAAAATGTCGATAAAAGTTATTACTTTTTTTAACAAATTAAAAAATATTTTTCAGTTGTATATTGTTTAAGTTTGAAAATGTCCTTATATATTGTATAAGTTTGAAAATGTCCTTATAGGACGAAACTGCAGTAACGTTAGTTACAAATAAAATACATTAAACTGTAATGTATAAGTTTGAAAATGTCCTTATAGGACGAAACTGCAGTAACGTTAGTTACAAATAAAAGTGGTAAAAAATATAGAAAGTTTAATTCCTCTTTTCTTCATTATGATTTCCTACCACGTAATAACAGCTACATCCATCAATTGATTGATTAATTATTCATCATCTTCATCTTCATCACGAACGAGTCTCTGTGTCCAGCTGTGATGGCGTCATGGCAACAGAATTCAGAGTGGGGACGGGGTGAGAGAGTAATAGATAAACAAAAGTCGATAGAAACAGGCCAAAACTTCCGAAATCAATAAAAAATCCTTCAGTGTTGAAAAACTCGCAGGCTCCAATGAAGAAACTTCCTACAGGTTCCGCCATCGTTATGCCTGCACCATCACAGAACGTTTTTGAAAGGCTCTATGCACTGAGGAAGCTTCCTGAATGCCACAGGATGATGCCAGCGAAAGGAAAATTCAGTGCCAGCACTCCTGCCGTGGAGCACAGAAATCATTATCGGAAAAACATGGTGTCAGGAAGTTCAGTGCTCAACCACCCAGCTCGAAATTCCTACGACCCTATTCTACAAAAAAAATCAGTAGAAAGTCGACAGAAAGGAATTCGTCCCATGAATGTTTTTGATAGATTGTACTATCAAAGAAAGCAGAACAGTCAGCAGGAAAGTATACACCGATTGAGAAAAAGCCTTCCTCCATCTTCTATCTCAAAACACTCGGTTGGAGCTAGAAATAGCCTTGGTTTCGACAAATCACAAAACATCATCAAACGGACTGCAGTAACGGCTGAAATTATACAACAAGCTATTGATGACATGGGTTTAATTGACGGCGATGACTTTTTTCTCGTGTTATTGTGTTATGATTTGTAATTGCTTTTATGTAATCAAAACATTTTTTTTGTGCACTTTTGAAGCTATTGTAATTGTTGTTTTTATTGAATATGTATAATTATACAAGTTCATTTTAAGAAATATAATACAGATTCTACCTTCAAAATTGAGCATTTTTGTCGTGTATAAAAAACTTGATGAATATTACTTTGTAATCGAAACACGTGTCGAGGTGTTGAAATAACGGTTACTTCAGAAATCAATTTAAATTTTGTTGCCTAGAAAACTAAACCGTAAAAAATTATAACAAACATCTGTTAAAATGAAGTTATAATTTAAATTAAGAACACTAAATCAAATCGAAACATATGCCTAAACCATGTNAGAAAATAGATATTTTTTGTACAGAGAATATATGAAAGATATTTTCATTTTATCCACTTCTGAAATTGATAAAGGTATATATTTTGGAAAAAAAGTCCTTTTTAGCTTTCTATTTCACCAACGAGGTTGATAATTTTCAAAAAATGATTCAAGATAAACTCTTTACGAAGATATGTAGGTATAGAGGTTTTTTCACACATATGAAACTACAGAGAAAATCAACCCAAACAAGTACTTGTGCATTGAATTTCTCAGAAAATTCAGTTCGAAACAGAATCGGAATCGAAACAGAATCATACACAGGAAAGCTTTACAATGTAACATGAAGAAGATTATTATTATGTCCTGAGGCAATAACAAAAACTTGTATAACACATCAATTTAATGCAATCAATCTGCAAATTTTTTGTGCAATTCAATTAGGAAAGTCTCAAAAACTTTTTTCAATGAATTCATCTTACAGACCAAAACATTACGGAAGGATGGAAAGATTTATTTATATTTTTCATTTCAAACATAGAATTCAAAATATTCGCACTATTTAGCAAAATTGAAAACATTAAAATTTTATATCTTCCAATACGTCTGTCTACAAGTTGATTTGTATATTTCTTGTTGATGAAACAGAGGTATAAACTTAATTTTCTAAGAAATTTGACAATATTCAAGTTGATGGGTTAGGTATAACATGCCAGATACAATTCCGAATAAATGACCGGGTAAGTTTAGCATACGGAATCATTTTCAGTTTGTCAGTGAAAGTGAATACACGTAGTTTCTCAACACATAAAATAAAAAGTATCACGACAACAAAGTTGTTCCAGAAATTCACGAGAACCTGAACCCGACCCAGCACAATATTGAAGATTCATTCCTATTCCAAAGAAAAAAGTTCACCAGCTGTAACAAAAGCTGTAACAAGATCGTGATATGATCCTATCCAAATAAGGTTGCTGCTTTTACGTAGAGTTCAGCGTCTGGAATCTTACAGAATTTCCCTTTTTAGTTTTTATTGAATTTGATATTTTTTTGGTTTTAATGAATTTTTTCATTCTTTCATTAGTGATAGGTATTGTTCAATTTTTACTGGTATATGTATTTCATTTGTACATTAAAAAAATTGCATATTCATCCAATAATAAACAGTTTCTGTTTATAACTTGCAGAAGTTTTTTTTTTATTATGATCTTGTAGGAAATATAGGTAATTTTAAATATGATTTGTGTTTTTTGTTATTGTATTTCAGCTAAACCCTCCACTTTCAGAAATGTATTTCAATGAACAAGTCTGCAAAATATCGAGAGCTCTTTTTTGCGTAACTCTTATGTTTCTGGCTGATTCCGAAAATGACTTTCATTTTTTTATAGAACTTCAAGTTTTCTGACAATGTAGATATCTATGATAAACGAGTTATAACCTCAAAATAACTACTAAAAGGTATTTCGTATTTATAATTTCGTAAAAAAAATTATTTTTTATCTGTAACACATTCAGTAGTAATCAATTAACGTATTCCTTTTTCCCATTGATACTCGTTTTGGTGCATTTTCGTTTGTAGGAAGCATCTGGAAGGTCTGTCATCATTGAGACGCTTCATCTTTCGTGGTATCCTTTTTCCATCTCCTCAATATCTTGGATCTTGGTGAAATTGTTCACCTCACATCTCCTAAATTTCCTGATGGATGCATGGGAATAAAGAAAATATACTTTTAAACTCATCAGGCAACCCAAAACTTGAAATGCTTTTAACATTTTCCGACGATTTGTTTGTAGTTAGGGTCTTTTAATTTTCGAAAAATTTCTCTATGACCCCTTTGAAAGCAATCCACCCGTCATGATTGTGATGCATTGTGGATCAGCCATAAGCCGTCTAACATCTGGTCCAACGAAAACATATTTCCAGGTCTATGAGAGGCCTGGAAACACTGATATTGAGTATTTGAATCAATTTCCATCTCTGGGAAGTGAAAAATAAATTGCTCCATCAATCCTAACTTCATGTGAAGCGGTGGTAGAAGAATTTTATGAAGAGGCACCAAAGTTTCGTGCAGGACGATCTTTTCTCCAACAAGCTTCAATAATGTATTGAAATTTTTGTCTATATTGTAATTCTGTATTTTTGTCTATATTGTTTTACTGAATGTTTTCTGAATTGGTTGAATGAACATTATTATTACCATAAAAAATACTCGTGAAGATGCAAGTTCCGGATCTGTTATAAAAAAAAACTTACATAATAATGCCCATCCTTGCAAATGAATTATCGTCAGGTGTTCCTATTTATATCCCGGATCCAAAAGCTAATCAGCGTATTTCAATTATTGAATGGGAAGTGGTCGGCCAAAGACGTAATGATTCATAATGAAATTTCAAAAACCAGATTGAATGTCCCGAGATATCGATCCTTGGAAAGGCGCCTGACGGTAGACAGGCGCGGATAGCATTCAGATCCCGACCTTTCTGGCATAACAACCATCACTTTTTCATGGAATCGATACGTGCCTCCGACAGTGGTAATGAAAATCGAGTGGAAATGTAATTGAATCCGCGTGTTTCGAGTCTAACGGATACTAACAAAGTAAGTTGAATTTGTTCTCTCTAATTCCCGTGGTTCGAAAATTAAACTTCCTGCGGCAATCTAATATTTTTCTAATCACGACCAGGTAATTCGTTATGGACATGACGGTACGATTGATAATCGAGGAAAAGGTTTGCAGTCACGGTCGAACTAAGTTATCAATATATCTAGTCTATAACATGCATGTTCATGGGAAATTAATAAATCACAACAATTTGAGTTTTCGAAATTTCATCCCTATTCAACAGCCTACGGATTGCGACATCTGAATTTTTGTGACAAATCTCAGAACACTCGAATTTCATAACACAATTTCATCCCTGGTCAACATTCTCGGAGTGAGGATAATAGAGGCCTGTGAAACATCTTAAAAAGTATTATACAGACCGTTTTTTTTTAGCTGATGCCTCTATTGCTATCTTGAATGATACGCAAGAAACAGATGCACTTTCAATTATGTTTCAATTTACAATGCGACGTTTCGTTCGTTAGATTTCGTCATCAACTTTTTTTTTGAATACCAACCTCTAGTTTCTTTCGTCGATTTTTTTAACCACTGATATAATGAATTTAACTTGTGTTTTCCGACGTTTTCCCCATCGACACTGCATTTGTGGAGTTTTGGCCGTGCAGACCCTCCTTATTGTTTCTTTCAATGAGGAATTCAATTCAATATATTTATCATATTTTGTTTGGTACAATATCTACTATAATAAAAATACATCGTAAACCCAAAGGAAACATAGAACATACCTAAGCAATAGCAAACATCAGTTCAAAGGGTAAGGGAGCCAGGCTTCAACCTGATTGAAATCAAGACGACGTGCAGGTCCCATTTTGTCTTCAATCGAGGACCGCCTGCCCGGTACTGACGATGCCCAATAGGCTGAAACAGCTGTCTACCGGTGGCTCTTAAATTGAAATGATTATATGCGAGCGCTTTCGATCGCATACTGTTCTATCATCTTCATGGCTCTACTCAAACTGAACATTTTATCTTCTTGTTTGTTTTTTATGTGGTTAGAACGCCTCAGTGTACATATTCGTCCACTCCCAAGGATCCAAAAGACAACAACGTTCCCACAAAGCTTTCCTTCCCTACATTAAAGATGTAGCTGACAAAATTGGCAGAATTCTCAAAAAACAGGACATAAAAACGATATTCATCGCCAACAATCAAATTTATACATTCCTCTATTCCCCCAAGGATAAAATTGTCAATGAATCCCAGGGTATATATGAATTCCATGATCCGATTGCAATAGAACATAATATGTAGGCCAGACCAACGGATGAAAAGAGAGGACAAATACCTGCACTGAGGCGTTATAACCGTATAAAAGAACAAACAAGAAAATAAACGTTCAGTTTGAATAGATGAACTAATATCCGCTAATATATGAACTAAATTTCAATTGAACTTGTTACAATAATCTATCAATGATACCAAGTTGACAAACCGTGGGTCAATAATAGTCCTTTCCCAGTTTTCGTAAGGGTTGGAACATCAAATGAACTAGAGAATCACCTATGCATTTTTCAAAATCGCAACATTTAAATCAAATAATCTTTCTTGAACTGAGATCGTTCACCGAATACTTGACATTTGACTCATCAATACTATCTTTTTAGGCAGCCTTCCATGACAGCATTCCGATGGCTATGTTAGCTCTCTTTGGAATCGTAGGAGGCCTCTCAGTTCTACTCTTACCAGAAACCGGTGGGGTGCCGTTGATGGATACCCTCAAAGAAGAGGAAGTAGGCCGAAAAATGTCCATTGCAGAACTGACTGAGACGAAGAGGATAAACAACAACTGTTTCTCATAGTGGTTACTAGAAGAGACTTCCAATTGAGAGACATGACCGAATGAACATTGTCTGGTGTTTCAGAGTGGAGGTCCAGGTAGTGAACCCTGAGGGGTACCAATGAAACAAAAATGTTCCGAATGGCGACTAGAACGTTGTTATTTGAAATGGACTGTACTTTTCACGTTATTGAAGAGATTACCAAAGTATTTTTATTGTTCAGTGCTAGTTGTACTTAAATTTAGATTGGTGTTTGTGAGAGTTTCCGTGGATTATAGTTAAAACCGTAGACATTTTTGCCACACGTGAATCTTAATTTGGTACAATATTGATTTTTATTGAGCTATGTATGGGCACAATATCAACAATATTTTGAAGAACTTCTGGCATTCCAGGCTAACAATTTTTTATCAATATTGATATTTCTAGTTGAGAATTCGTCACTTACAGCTGTCACTCTTTCAAAATTAGGTTTGGTGTTCTGACAAAACTACATGGTAGACTTCAAAGGCGCGGAAAATCAAGAAAATGCAAAATTCCTTGACCTAGAACCAGTAAAGCATTTCTACTCAAGCAAAAATATGACCTATTATTTTCGGCACATATGATCCTATCGGCCATTTTCAGGTTCACTCGTTTCTTCCAAATCAAAATGTATATACTTTGTAATTTCATTAAGAGTGAAGTGATACCCTGCGATTATGTAATCTATACTTTAGATATACCCACAAAAAATCTTGGAGTATCATATCAGGTGATCTAGCGGATCATTATAACCCCGTTTGAATAAATGTTATCCAGCATCTTCCGAACCAGCATGTCGTAATGAAGAGCTACCACATCAGTTGAAAACCGACTTGGATTTATCATTCATCCAAAGTGGTTAGTAAGGGGGCCGACGTGGTCCTTGATATAACGCCTCTAGGTTTTTGTTGAGGGGATATATATGTCATCTAAAGTAGATGAAACACAACCGCAAATAATTTCAGATTTCGTGGGTAGAAAAAAAGTTATTGTGATGAAATAACTCCAGAATTAATTCATGTAAAAAATGAATTGTAAAGCAGTCTTCGTTATTGTAAAAGAATCAGTAGCGATTTCCTAAGAAGGTGCAGAGAAATATGAACAAGTTCTGGAATTATCAGTTTCTCACAAACTCGAAAAGTCTACCATAAATCTATCCAATCCAGTTTCAAGCAGTTGAACTTCAAATTTCTCATCGCGCTGGTCCAATGATGGGGGAGAATCATCGCATCCGTGATTATTCGAAAGAAGACAAAAGTGGTGAACGTAGCATCACCAGTTACAACAGCATTAGATAAGTGATACACCTAAATCGACCTTCACCGAGCTGATAATAGAATGAAATATATTTTATAAAGAATTTAGTATATTAGAAAATATGTTAACAGTGGGTTCGCTAAAAAAATCCTGGACAGACTATTTTTTGAAAAATGATTTTTCATTAAATTTTGCCACATCAAGATAATAAGAAAATTTTTGTCCTTACTTGAAGTATAAAACGTATAGAATGTGCAGCCGTTGGGTTGTCTATTAGTTTAGTTTAGTTTAGTTTTTTTATTGGTCACAAGTACACCATGGTGTCTGGACAAGTCACATAAAATACACATATATGACATATATAAAATTGTAAATTATAAAGCATTTACATTGTAAAATTACAACATGATTACTAACACATGACATATGAAACAAAATTTAAAAGTGAAACATAAACATATTAAGGTCCATATA